AAAACACAAAAGTGGGGCGAGACTTTTGGTCCCTACTGTATGTGAAAACAGAAGGTGCTTGAGGTCTTGCACTAAGTAAATTCCACTAAGTTGCGTTTTCTCTGATCCTCTTGATCAGCCTTATGGTCCTGCTTCCTTTGGTTATTTTTGCTATACTGCGAAGGAGTATGCTTTAAATGCGGTGAATTACGATGCGAAATGCGTTAGTTAGTAAAGGCACCTAAACGCATTTGTTTCTGTTGCGTTCAAATGCGTTTGGGAGACATTAACGGGTCAAAACGCGCTTAACGTGAATGCGTTCGAACGTCTTAGTCATTTGAACGCGGCAAAATGACTTTATTTTCACAGCGGTTTAGCGCGTCAGTTTCGGATGCAGCTAAACGCGTTTGATTCTAACGTATTTAAACGCATTTATCACCGATTAACGCGTACAAACGCGTTTCAGTTGTAAGAAAACGCGTTCAGACACGTTTTTAGTGCAAAAAAACGCGTTTAGCAGTGCGTTTGGTCTAAAAAAATGTCTGCCTGGATATCGCGACCTGCATAATAGCCATGCGAAGGTCGAATCTACATATGCTTCTCGGTACAGGCAATACTACTTCTGCTACAGGTTCCCTAGATCAATATGACGGATCTAAACAGCGGCTTTCTAAAGGTGCTTTTTTTAGCGACTTTTACTACTTTGCCAGTCCGAAAAGAACTATTAACAGCTCAAAACATTTTTGGGAATCTCCCCAGTTCTAATGCCTCTACCTACCATAAATATATGAACCAAAAATTCGGCTATCGGTTGAGCAGGCAGCGGAAGCGTTCAGTATCAAATTGCATAACAGTAAGCAGAGCAATGCAGGGTTCATCAGCAGATAACGTTATTAAGAGTTTAGGATGGTTAACATTTTCTCAGTTTTTATATATAAACTGAATGTGTATTTTCTACAAGACTTTCATGGGTCTAATATGTAATCATCGGTTTTTGAACTACACGGCTCCTAATATTCATTATGGTTGAGATCAAACAATACTAATCGGCTTTATTACAGATAAAAGTAGTTTCTTTAATAACTCATTTTTTCTGACTATCGTTAAAGAGCAGAATACTCATTCTCTCGACTGTAAAGACACAACTTTGCGTCAGGATGCAGCCTATGAAACTTCGGGACAAAAATTAGTCAATCATCTGCTCGATTCTAGCTTTACTATTGCATCGTCAGCGAACAGAATAATAGTAACAATCTATTGTAGACCAAAAATAGATTTCTTAGCTTTGCGGGCACATTTAAAGATATATAAACTTGTTGATGATAACATCTGTCAGCAATGTTCTGATGTGAGTTGACGACCCAAAGTACTTTTTCTTTGAGTGTGCAGCTAATAGTCGGGCTAGATTGACCTGTGTCACTACTTTGGGAAAATCAGATGTTAAAAATTGACCTAAACACGCTTTAATTACGATCAAACTTTGAGGAGAAAAGTAAAGGGAGGTGGATAAGACCGTTTCCGTCCCAAATATTTTTGAAAAAAGAATTACATATTAAGAGTCAGCGTCAAATTGTTCATGGAAAGGCGTATTTGATTCATTCAAAACCCGAGTTCCATTTTTTTCGAAAACTTTTCGCTTCGATGACACTTTTGGAACTTTTTTATCGATAATATTCATATCAAACAGCTTTCTCAGGTATTTCTCTAATTTTGTTCCTTTCTCGTTTAATTCTATTCGACTTCTATTCGTCGAACGGTTTGCATGGTGAAACCTCATTCATTTTCAATAAATCATCGGATTAATCCGTAATCACAATCGCATTTCCTTTATCAGCTTTACACATATACAAATGTTCATTTTCCAAACCCAAATCCGTCCTTCTCCTATTTATTTCTTTTCTTTTCTTTTTCTTCCACTCTAGCGCAAACAATAACTGGCACATCATGCTCACCATACGTCTATAATACAAGTATAAATGCAACAACAACAATTTCGACTGGCTTGTATTCATATGGTGTTACTGTAGACGGTGCTAACAATATTTATGTATCAGATTCCAACGATCGTATTCTTAAATATTCATCGAGTAATTCAAATGCGACCATTGTTGCACCTTCATCTACAACACCGGGAGCAACTGGCTCTCAACTTGGATCTCCGCTGGCTATATTTTCAAATCTAAATGGTGATTTATATATTTCGGATACAAATTCTTACTGTGCGGGTGCCTGTTGGTATTCGTCCAATAATTATCGCATTCAGAAATGGATTAATGGAGATAATTGGGGTACTACAGTCGCTGGTGGATATGGACTAGGAACAGCTCTGAATCAAATTGGCATTTGCTATGGTATATTTGTAGATATCAGCGGTAACCTGTATGTATCCGACTACACTAATCATCGCGTAACCAAGTGGCCACCCTACTCTACCAGTGGAATAGTTGTAGCTGGCAACAATGGTAGTGGAAGTAATGCTACACAACTGAGTAATCCCCAAGGTGTATTTGTGGACGGAGCGGGAAATCTTTTTGTGGCTGATACTGGCAATAATCGTGTGCAAAGATTTGCTCCGGGATCCACCTCTGGTGTAACAGTTGCAGGCGGGAACGGAGCAGGACCATATCCCACTCAGTTGAATCAACCGACATCAGTTTATGTGGATAGTAATGGAAATGTATTTGTATTAGATTCACAAAATCAGCGAATTCAACAATGGTCGCCAAATGTTGATTATGGTGTGACTGTTTTCGACGGTTCCACTGGTGTTTTTGGTATGAATGCACGAGCAATGACCATGGACTCAATGGGTAATATATACATCGCAGATACACAAGGACAGCGAATCCAAAAACTTCCGATCATATCGACCGGTATATGTGGTAAGTATATCTAACGTTTCTAAGTCTGTGTTTATGCTTGTGTAAAGTCGTTGTTATATCTGTACTTTTATTGTTTTAATTCTCTGAGAAAAATACAATCAGATTTTTTGATCGATGCTGGAAGTAAAATTAGCGATGCTGACCTACCGAAGAATTAATTGAGTCTGGTTTGTAGCAAAACGTCTTTGGTAGTTACATCCGATCAAGTAAAATAAGTGTTTGTTTTCGGAGTTGCTCCAGTAAAATTTTGGAATTATCTTTCAGCAAAACCTGCTATCATGCTGTTCCTCTTCCAGATAGCATGTCGATTTTTCTTCGCAAAAAGTGGTGCTTCTGCTCCCGCGCATGTGAGTTCTGAGAAGAACAATTTTATAATTTTTCAATGAAATTTTGGAAAAATTCTATTGTGATTGCTTTGTGTTACTAAAGCGTATCCTTGAATCGATAGGATCTTTCAAAATTTTCGTGGAATCAGTTTACCATTAGCTTTACAATACTATATTAAACCCTTGCATAAAAATATCGTATATCAAATTGTTAAACTGTGCATGTGAACAGTTTGAAAATGTGACCATGCTCCCTTAGGTGTGTTTTCTTTGTTGATGCGACATGTGATAGAGAGTTGAAAGAGATTGCTTTATAGATATATTTTGTCGCAGTAACAGAGTGTGAAAAGATGGACAATAGTGTTTGAGGTTGATCTGCCAAGTTAAATTTTGTCGGGAAAATTTCCCAGTTGGTGCTAGGACAACTGAATAGTACGTAGGACCGTTGCTAAACGGAGAGCTCTATCCAGCTCTATGGCATTCTTTGCCGTAACTTTGGATTTTCATAAAAACCTTATATAAGAGGCAAACTGATATCGTTCGATAATTCAGAACCACACTCGGGCTAACAACTCTTTTTGATCAGAAACATACTCTGGAATAGAGAGCAGGATTTTCTCGGCCTATGTCCAGAAAAAGGTCTGAAATTATAAATCCGGCGGAATCCGGTAGATCGTGTCCCTCTCCGTTTGAAAACGGCTAAGATATAGTCCTGCCCTTTTCGACTCAACCATTTTTGCTGCCTGCAACGAGTGTAAAAAAACTCATCTGATGAGTTCGCTAGTTCTCTAGAGAACTGGTTAAATATGGAAGGACAAGTTGATTATTTTCCGGTTCACAATACTCATATTAAGATTTTTTTTTTATGAGGTGTTACAGCTTATGAATAAGTCATTCCAGTTTGTCCGATACCTGTAGAGCTCAAAGTAACTTTTACAAAAGTTCAAGGACTAATTTGAATGTGTTAAGGGTAGAGATAAAACCGATATTGGAGATCAGGTGGTTTGCGCCAGGCAAGTCTTTGAGGTTAGCTCCTGTATCGACTGATAAAAGATTTTTCAAATGTATTCGCATTTTTGCACTTACACATTGAGTTAAATAGCTCTTTAAAGGTCGCAGTGAAAATACTAACAGCATTAGTCAGACAAGTGAGAACTAAAACGAAATTTATTTCTACATGCCAGCTGATCAGTCGACGAAAAAATTAAGCAGGTCCACTCGTGCCGGTCCATTGAAAACTTTTAGACCAGTTCCGATACTGGTCCGCCACTTTTTACATCGGTTTCATCTCTGGTTTAGAACTTGTTGCGAGTTCTTCATAAAAGGCTAATACCCATTCTTTAGCATAGGTGGAAGTATACTTATCCTTTTTACGCCACATTACTGGCTCATGTTCCTCTTTTATATTCTAGCTGTCTCTACAACGGTAGCTAGTGTGACGAAGTCGATAACTACAGGTAAGATTGTGAACACTCGTTTGTGTCTTTGTGCATTACATTTTCTTCCAAGAACAATTCTGCCATCCATTTTAAAAAGCACATTACACTTAGATATTTACTGAACAATTTCCGCCACTAGAAAAAACAAGGATTTTTGTAGTTTTCATGATTATGTAGCCTCTCGACTGCATCCTCGTTAAGCCGAAACACTGGAATATTTGGATATTATCCGTCACGAGTCTTCGAAAGATTAAGTCGTTTCCCATAAAGTGCAATCGATTTTCAGTTTCCGGAACACTATTCGATAGTTCACACCGTTTTCAGTCGATTTATATAATAAAATTTCTCCTTATCGTGTTTTGAAGAGAGCAACGACTTCGCTAGAGTCATTTTTTCATTTCAAGTGTTCTCAAGTGCCTGTAAACCTAAAATACGTAGCAGCCTAAAAGTTTTCGTCACTCATAAACCTTGCGGAATCATTTGTTTTCAAATCAGACGCAATGACATATATACATACATCGAAAACGTTTAAGAAAATGTTAATTTTTTACGTTTGCTGTTCAATAGAAATCGGTTATTTGATTCAGTTGCTTAAGAAAAGATGTGTTCTGTCTGATAGGTAATCTGAAATGCTAAAAAACTGCAACAAAAGATAGGTTTTCGGAAGCGTTTTAAAAATCCTCATATAAAACAAAAATGTTTTGTTAGTTTTCAACTTTTTAGCAGATAAAATACATTGCCTACTATGAAACTTTAATCAAGACATTCTGATCCTCTTATAGTGTTTATACAATATACCTGCATATGCTAGTGACCTGACGTACCACCAATTCAACTTCGGATGCTGCTGCCGAAAGGGCGCAGTTTTCGAAGCATCATCGTCCGTCTCTGCGAGAAAGTTAAAGCTCTTCTGGCACGTCGGTTTTTTGAAACATCAACGGGTGTATCGAACGCTGGGAGGTTTAAGCCAAATCAATAAATCTCTAGCAGATTGATTGTTTGATCAAGAGACCCATTTACTCCAACCCTGTTAGGCTTTCCAGATGACCCATTGTTTACAAATGTAATTTTAAAAGAAGTGTTTTGTGTATCGAGTATTTTAGTTTTCCGACAGAAGTATGAGAGAAGAGCATCTTGTTAAGTTCGATTATCCGTAGAGTTTAACGACGCTTCTCAGATGTCATTTCAGTTACAGTAAATCATGATTCAGTCACAGAAGGAGCATCATTTACTCGTTTAACTTAATTCATGACGGCAATAAGTTTACATATGGTCTAAATCACTATTTTCGAGTATTTATCTTGACACAGAACATTGTTAAAAATTTTGCATTACTTCTGGAAGGCAGCATTTCATCTCAAAGTATATTACAATATGCTGAAAACTTTTATAAAAAATAGTAAAATACATGTACGCAAAAGAAAAAAATGTTCCTGTCGTGGTAATTTTTCTCTAACAGAAAAGCAATTTACTCTATAGTATTTGTCGTTTATGATGCTAATTTACATTAGTACTGACGTGAATTAGACTATGATGGAAAAAAAGACGTCAGTTTTAGCGCAGACTTATTTTAACTAGTGTAATAGTAGAAAGAACCACTCTCGTCTGAACTAGGTATCTACATAGCATCACATCACTTATACCTTTTTTGATAAAATGTGGAAGAATGAGATTTGAAAGCACAAACTTATGCAACTGAGTTACCTATCATTTAATCAGCTAAACTAAACTTTTATAGCCATTTGAAAGTGTTTCAGGGTCAATCTTTCACAGAAAAATTTTTAGCCTGATATTTACAGGTATAAAATAAACTTTTAAATGAAAAGTTTTGAGTGTACAATTAGAAATAAGTCAAACTTCTTAGGTCGAAAGTCTTCGTGAAATTTCGTTTGTCTCTTACTATCGTACTGATAGTCTTCTAACTTCAACAGTTCGTCTGTTTGATCGCATAATCCTAAAACTTATCAGTTTTTCTATATACATCACAGTTAATATAAGGAATAGAGTCTAATAGACTACAACGTTAATCTCTTTTTTTATCAAACACCTTATCTTCTCCAGTTATAGCGAAAATACAACCATCCGCACTACTGTCATTGTGACACTTCGTAAAACTTTTATAATTCATCGATACTGCACCGTGCAGAAGTGAAAGACATCTTATTTTGAAGAGAGTTGTTCATTCTAAACGAATATATATACGAAATTAGTTGTAAGTTCTACGAAGGCGAAATAAATTAAAAATCTAGAAAAAATATGGTTTTTAACGCAAATCTTAAAATCCATGTAACATTTTAAAAACCGTGATGGAGGACCGTAACTGGTTTTAACCGTGTTGTTATTAATTGAAAGAAATATAGTTTGTTACCAACATAGCCTAGAAATCTGGAATCCTTCTTTTCAGCAAATTCTCTCATAAATGTATCTGTAAGGCAACAGATGTAGAGATTCTAGCACCCCTAAAACACGCCATTGTAAATCAACATTGGAGTACGGTCGTTGTTCATATCAATATGTTGCTGATGAAGAATCAAACTATAAGCTAGCTTTAGCCACAACTTTGCGAGTGGCGTGAGGAACCGCTTTTTTTCTTCTGTTTATTCATGATACGGGAGAGAGTCTAAAAGCCGGTCTCAAACTTTCCACTGAGACGCTGCCTTATTTTACCATAGTTCTCCAATTGAAAATATTAGTAAAATTTTAAACAAACATTCGAAAAAGATCCCTCTATAGTGTAAAACGTGGCTGATTGCCTTAAATATTGACAATGTAATGCTCAGCTTTTTTATTGACGGATACTACAGAAAAGTTTCTATTTGCTTACACTGTTAATTGAAAACAATCCTATACTCGAGGTTTCTATTCATAAACATCTAGGATTATATCCGAGCTTAAATTTATGGAACGTATTAATTCCAGACGTTGATTACGTCTTCGGAAGAATAACTACCATCCATAACTACGCGCGTCTATTAAAGCGGAATATGTCTCATCATGCATTAGACCCGATATCTAAAACATTTATAATGACTAATATCAACAACGCGACTGAAATCTACGCTATAACGAAGGAAAATAGCAGACTGAAATCAGCCCGAAATAAGTCAAAAATCACGTAAAATCAATTCATTTTCACTGATTTTCAGTATCTGTAATTCTCTGTGATTTTCAGTGACTTCCAGTAATCTCCGATGATTTTTCATTTGGTGAAAACCGATGAAAATCTGCAAAATGGGCAAAAATCGGAAA